GGGCTAGAAACTATTCACTTAACCACTGCTATGGCAAAGAAGCTCAATGCGTTCCAAATGAGGGGCATTCGCAAGATTTTAAACAAAGCTCACACCTATATAGACCGTACAAATACTAATGCAAAGCTTCTGGAAGAAGCAAGTATGATAGCATTTCCAAGCCGGGACGACCAACGAAAGATACTACTATTTAGTGAGGATTCTGATCCTTTAAGACAGGTATCGTTTATGCCCAGCAGTGCCACTAGAATCGAGTATGGCAAAAAGCGAGTTGGGAAGCCCCGGCAAACTTGGATACACCATGCAAAGAAGTTTGTGTGGGAAGAGACGCTTGGCAGAATATCTTATGAAGAAACCCCGGTACAAGATAATCTCATCTATAATGCAGGTTTGCAAAGACAGTTCTAAAGCGTCTGCAGAGGGTAAGCCTCCTTTTTGCTGCGCCAACGCCGTGTCTTGAAGTTGACGTGCAGTCGATTCACGGTATGGCTTCGGAGTAAGGTTAGCAAAGCGCAGTAAAACCCTCACGTGCCCAAGCCTCCGCGCCCTCCCGTTGTGATGCTGTTGCTTGCCCAGCTTTCCCAGGAAGAGCCCATGACGCAGTTTGAGTTCCAGAAGCTTCTCGTGGAGCCCGAGATTGCAATGATCCTGTCAGGCCCGAGCTGATCCCGATGTCTACTCGCGGCTGCGGCAGATTGCGTCTCTTTGCGGTTCCTTGCGTTCGCTTGTTTTTTTGGTAGGGGAGGGTGTTGGATGTTATCGCGCTGGTCGACAACCTGGACATGATCTACGAGGCCAAGTCCAAGTGATCGCATGTGTGTTGCCAATTGAGTTTTGCTGGTCGGCCTCGAGATTTCAAAAAACGATTCTGCACTTGAAGGGCCTCCCCAAGAATGACAGGGATGGTCTTGACTTCACCGCCGCCCTCGAGTTCTTGCTCAACATGCGAGGTGGCAATGCTGCCACTGCTCCCTATCTGCCGTTGTGGGCATGCGTTTGAAGGAAGCTTCTGTTACATCCGTTTCGGAATCGGGTGAGTCAACTCGCAAGGGCTTTCTGTCACCATGGGGGGTTCACAGATGTTTGCCGCCATAGAAGTGCAGGGCGAGAGACTCGGTCTCCTCTCTGGCCACTCTTTTGTCGCCCTTGTTTTGGGTCTTTGCTGTCAGCCTGCACTTGCCCAGCTCTCTCTGAGGTGAAAGATGTCAAGGAGCAACTCCGCCTCACCAAGTCCTTGGTGAAGTCCATGCAGTGGCAACTTCGGCGCACTTCGGGTTGGCTTTGAATTTGACGGCCATGCCTGCTAAGCATCTCATGTTCCTTCATGTTCCCTCGTTTTCCTTTCCTCGCCCGAGGATGCTGATGGAGAAAATGAGCACCGAGTTGCTTCCTCGGATCGTGTGAAGCGGGGGATGCGCCACGCCGCCACGCTGGGCGTTCCTGCCTGCGCCGCCCTGCCTGCGACGCTCCGAGGTTTGCCAACATCTTGGCTCGGGAGGGCGATGACGACGGAGAGTATGAGGAGGCGCTTCACACGAATTGCACATTGCACACCTTCATCCCGCGTTCCATGGCCGACATGTTCCTCTGTTGTTCATGAAAAGGTACAGCAGGGCAGTTCTGTCAGGGTGGACTTTTTTAGTTTAGCGTCAGTGTTGCAGGAGTCCCTCATTTCCAAATCCGTCCGAGAGTGAGCATGGCCTCGGTGCCTGGACGACGGAGCTCTCCTAAACTGTAGGGCCCACCATGGCCCAGTGGTCATTCGTACTTGGTTGCTTCGCTGCATGGCCACTGGCCGGTCTCCATTTCCGTTGAGAGCATAGAAACCCCCAAAGACCTAAGCCCTCTGAAGCAAACCCGAGAGGCCCCCGTCTACCGTGGGAGTTTGATCCCGCGTCGCCCTCCTCCTCCGGCGCTTCCGCCGAGTGTGGGGTCCATCTGGGTCAGCGCGTGCGGTTTAGGGTTTAGGGCCGGGGTGTTTAGGGTTTAGGGTTTAGGCTTCGAGGGCCTCCAGGGTCTTTGAGGGCTTCATAGGCTTGCTACAGCCCGATAGTTTTTTTTTTTTTTTTTTTTTGGGGGGGGGGGGGGGGGGGTGGTAAGCGTGATGAGGTTGATGTAGGGGGCGATATGGGTGTTTAATTTTGTTGGGTTTGTAGGGCTTCGTTGCAGAGTTCATTTCGTTCAGGGGCTTATGGGGTGAGTGTGTGTAGGGTTACAGAGGATCGGCGGGCTTATATAAGGTTTCAACATGGAAGGGCTTACTTCATGGAAGGACTTCTATGGGGTTTCTATCAGGCTTACTGGGTCGCGAGGATTTATCGGGTTTTTGAACAGTTTCTCTTCAGTGTAATTACAGGGCTCAGGGCCTCTCAGCTGCCACATCAGCTTGTTGCGTTGCTCAGGGTGTACCAAAGAACAAGTGCTCCCTTCTCAAGGAGAAGACCTGAACTGATGAGATTGTTCGCAAGCCACACATTGGAAATTCCAACATATGTTTTCCCCACCCTTGGGGTCTTGGGGTTGTTTGATGTTATATTTAACTCTTCTCCTCGCCCGGTCTACTCGCCCAACCCCAGAGTGTTCCTGAAATGCCCAACTCCAGAGTGTCCCCGAGTGCCCAACCCCAAAAATTCCCCAGAGTGTCCCTGGAGTGCCCAACCCCAGAGAGTCCGCAGAGTTAGCGCACAAATTCCTTGCCTAGTAGGTGGGGATTCTCGAAGTAAAAGAATTTCGCAGCTTGCTTGCGTTTGGATTGTGTTTGTTTGCGTTTGGGTTCTGTTTGTTGTGTGTGCTTTGTTTGCTTTTTTGCGTTTGGGGATGGAGGCGGGCCCGAGGTTGCAAGAAAGCTGCAACACAATGCGTTTTGTGTTTATGTGTGTGTGTGTGTGCGCGTTTTTTTTTTGCGCACTTGACGCAAACCACGCAAACAAAGCTCAAGCTCAGATTGCCCAGAAGTTCCAAACACTAAGCCCTGGCACAAAAAATGCAATACAAGTGGTATAGGTTTAAGTCGACCCTGCCGGGGTGAAGTCGTGCCCAACCCATGTGCCGCAGGGTTTGGGCTTACTTTCCCATATCCCCAAGATATCTTATATTTCATCAGGCCCAGAGTTTTGCGGTCTTATAGTACTGTGCACATGGTTTTGGAACATTTCCGGATAGTTGTTTGTGGCGTAACCCCGAAGCTTCCGATGCATGAAACCATTGCCAGCATTCCCCGCAAGGCGGAAGTTGTCATCCCAGTGTGCCCCTCGGGGAACGCTGTAAAAACCGCGATACCATGTCACATGGGCTATGTTCTCAGATGGCTTGTGTGGGGCGTGCAATTAGGGAAAGACGACAAACCATGAAGCAGAAGCTCAAAAGACTCAAGATTTGAAGACGTAGATTTCCAACACCCTTCATCGTGAGCCTTCAAGGGAGGGTTTGGGGTGGGACATGGTCTTGGACTTGGAAATTTTGGGTGCAAATGCGGGCCCAGAACACAGGGCCTCCCAGAAACCTCCCAAGAGTGTCCCGAGGCCTCCAGGCCCAGGTATTGTGCTTCCTACCAAAAGGCCAGTGCCTTGCCTTACCCCGCTCGGGCCTCGCGCAAGCGCGCGACCCTCGCACAGGCCACAAATACGCCCCTCCCCAAAACAATGGATTTTCCTTCACACTGCATGCGGTCGTGCGTTCTCCTCCAGTCCGAAAAACCATGTGCCCCGGCATTTTCGCAAATCAAAACCGCTTACAAATGCTGTTTTAAGGCTTCTCAACCCACTGTGCACAGCTCCGCTGCCATGTTTGTAAAAAGGCGCGAAAGCTCTCAAAAGCCATGTGCCCCTAGGGTTTCGCTGTTGCTGGGCCGACTTTACACCGCCTGGGGTGACTTCCTTCCTCTGCCTTGTTTTGCTGTGTGCCGCAGGGGTTGGGCCGACTTTACACCGTCTCATAACCCTAAACCCCAGGCCCTACCTTGGAACCCTGAACCCTAAACCCTTTCGACCCCAAACCTTAAACCCTAAGCCCTAAGCCCTAAACCCCGACCCTAGACCCTTCCCAGGCTCAAGCACTACAAGGCCCAGCCCATCTTGAACGCCTGCTCGGCGACCATGTGCAGCGCCCCGCACTTGGAGAGCTCCCGGAGCCGGAATCAGGGTTTAGGGTTTAGGGGTTTAGGGTTTAATTAGGATTTGGGGGCCTAAAAGCCCTAAAAACCCTAAAACTCCGAAAAGCCCTAAAAAAATCCTAAACCCTTCTTAAGCCCTCCCCGCCCTCACCTCAAAAGAGAAGCTTGCAAAGAGTAACAGTAAGAATAGTAGCGTTGCAAGACCTTAAAGGGCTTTGCTCAGCAGCCGCAGAGGCAAAGGCTGCTGCGAAGGGAACTGTTAGGGGAGGGAGTCTCCGACGTACCTTCCCATGGATGCCTGCAAGTCGTAAGCGCAACGCCCTTACCCTGCATAAATCTCCTCTGTTTGTTGGGCCCTTTCAGGGTTTAGGGTTCCCCCCTTCCCTGAACCCTAAACTCTAACGAGAACCAGTAAACCCTGCCAACCCTGTAAACCAAGCCCGGTGCTTCTTCAGGAGGGTGCGCGTTTTTCTCCATGTTTGGGTTCCGTGGTCACTGGAGCGGCAACGGCATATGCAAGTTTAATGGGTTGATGGGTTTTGGGGTGTAGGGTTTAGGTTTTATTTTGGGGTTGTGGGGATAGGGTCTTTACAGCACGAGCTGCGGGTCGGTTCGAAGAAAGAGCGCGGGCGAAGCTGGCCCCAGCCCCTCGAAACAAGGAGGTCGCAGGTTGCAGACTTCAACACGGAGACCCTTTTTAGCCCCAATGCGCCCCAAAGGCCCCTGAACCCCTAAGAAACCCCCAAACTTTCTAAAGCCCAAGGTCTAGGATTTCGTGCTTAGGCCTAGGCCGAGGCTTTACACGATAAGCTCTGAACCCTACAAGGGTCTGTTTAAGGCATATCACAGTTTAAGTCTGACGACTCCGGGAGGGCTTCTCAGCTCTCTCATGGCCGTGGTTTCGCCATTTGCGGATGAGACGCCAAAGTCCATCACCCGCTTTATCACGGTCTCGCTGCTTCTATACGCCGTCGCCGTCCTGATTCTTCTGAACTGGAAGACAGCTTGGGACCACCAGCTCCTGCCCCTTTACGTGCTCCAAGGGATCATGTTCATCACCGCGGCCGGCGCCATGCTCGGAGGAATGGCCTTCAACTTCAGAGTGTGGAGCTTCATACTCGGGCAGAACTGCTGCCTGGGCCTCTGCGCAACTGCTGGCTGCTTCCTTCCGGGCGCCTTCATATTGTTCTATGCAATTGGCACGGCTTCTCCAGTTCTGTTCGAGTGGGAGTTTATGGAGATTGAGCCGATCCATTATGTCGACCTTTGCAGCACAGCGGAGTGGAAAGACTTCAAGGGGGGCATCTACTTCGAAGGCGGCGCCCTCACCCAAGATGACAGCATGCCTCCCGTGATTAAGCTCGACATCCAGCAGTGCATCTGGGTCGAGCCCAACAACCCAGATGTCAGGTCAGGCTACTGGACGCCTTGCTTTGCTCGACTTCGGCCAGTCTTCACTTGCGACCCCCGACTGTCGAAAACCTGTACCAATCCTCGCGCATGCGCCTGGGCGATCACGGCATCGGAGGCCTCGGAACAATCGGAACCCGACCCTCCGAAAGCCCCGGACTGCGGCACACCCGGCGTATGTGGGATGGTGTATCGCATGAACTTCTTCATGCCCTTCATGTCGGCCAACAGCACGAGCATGAAGACCTTTCATCAGCTACTGGAAACATTAGGGAGACGATTCCCGGGAAGCCTGACAGCCGATAGCCCTTTGCTTATCTTAGCCAACCCGGCCGAGCTAAAGAGAGCGGGTGGAGAAGCTGTAGAGAGGTTCTACAAGCTGCTAATCGTGTACGTGCCGCTGGGTGCAGTTTTGGGTCTTCTGGTAGCTGCGGCCCGGGCCATGGCAAGCTGGCAGACAAGCGAATCCACGCAGACGGATACCGCTGACGACTCCGTGACACCCGGCAGCCCAACCCTCAAAAACCATAGCGACTGAGAAGTGAACTCCGGTTGAGAATCAATTCCTTGTATCATGCCCATGCCGAGGAACGGACGGCACGCGTTGTGCAGAATACTCTTGAAAGTCACGTGCCCTCCGTCATGAGGGATGTTGGGCAATTTATGTCTGCAAGCCAACCACCCACTCCCCCACTCACTCCACACTCCCCCACTCCCCCCCATCCCCACTCCCCCACTCCCCACTACCCCCCACTCCCCACCACTCCCACTCCCCCCCACACTCCCCCACACTCCCCCACACTCCCCCACACTCCCCCACACTTCCTAAACCAGGCCCAAAACCCTAGGTAGGCCAAAAAATCCTAGGCCCAAAACCCCAGGCCCAAAACCCTAGGCCCAAAACCCTAGGCCTAAAATCCTAGGCCCAAAACCCCAGGCCCAAAACCCTACCCAAAACCCTAGGCCTAAAATCCTAGGCCCAAAACCCCAGGCCCAAAACCCTAGCCCAAAACCCTAGGCCCAAAACCCTAGGCCCAAAACCCGAGGCCCAAAACCCTAGGCCCAAAACCCTAGGCCCAAAACCTAGGCCCAAAACCCTAGGCCCAAAACCCTAGGCCTAAAACCCTAGGCCCAAAACCCTAGGCCCAAAACCCTGGCCCAAAACCCTAGCCCCAAAACCCTAGGCCCAAAACCCTAGGCCCAAAACCCTAGACCCAAAACCCTAGGCCCAAAACCCTAGGGCTTAAATGCAGCGGGGGGGGGGGGGGTGGTGGTTGGCGGCACCAGCCCCCCAACCCCCACCCCTCCCCCCATTTTGCCAGCACAAAGCCCATGCGCCTCTGGAAAGGGCTCCTAGTTTTGTGCAAGAGCTTCTCGTGACGGCACCACGTTCGCAAAAGCAAGCTTGCGCGGTTTTGGATCCACTTGCAAAAGCAATGCTTCTGTGACGGGGTTGGAGAGGATTCAATTCCACTTGACGGCGTGATGTTCTTAAAGAAGGCTGAGGAGATATAAGGGGATCCGTTGGTTTGGGGACCTGGGGTTGAGGATCCCCGTTTCGGGTGCAAGCTGGAACCCTTTGGTTAATGGCGAAAGGTCCCCCTAATAGCTCAAATTTCAGAGCTTCAGGAACAGTGCCGAACTAGACCTTTGTACTGTTTTGAGACTGTAGCTCAACTAGTAGCAAGTGATACTAGCAGGTACTCACGCGAAGAGTGCGGGGGGCGTTAGATTGGGGGACTTTTTAACTTGACCTTTGCACCAGAGTCCAAATCAAGATAGTTTAGAGCCTGGACGCCAAGAGCATGCACATCACAAGCTTGAGATCTCGTGCAGCCTCTGCCCAAGACCCAGCCCAAACCAGAATCCCTTGAACCGCTGAGGGGAAATCTCTTTGCATACTGTAGCTTCTTGGGCAACAGCTTGGAGGTGAAGGGGAAAGCAGACAACGGGCACGAGCAAACACAATCTTCGTGATTGGCTATGACTTGTATCCCTGAGGCTGTGGATCGTTGCCTGAGAATGCAACTCATGAGAACGCAACTGCAGCGCGCAAGTTGCTTGTAGCAGATGGTAGGCAGATCGTAGGTCGTAGGCAGGCTTCCTGCCATTGAAGGGCGCTTGCAAGTGCCAGAGAGCCAAACACCTTGTGCCCGCAGCGCAATAAACACCACGCGCAAGCTGCAACTTCCATGGGATCATTCATGGCTGCTGGCTTCCAGCCTGCAGAGTGTCTGTAACAGGCAGGCTTAGGGTTTATAGGCATAGAGGCAATACCCTTTCCTTGTAGTTTCAAAGGCTCAGCCCGCACCTCCCCCAAAGACCTCAAGTTAGGGCAAAGGGGCTGTTGGTTTGATACACCCAAACGCCTCTAAACGCCCTGAAGCAGCTTTGCCTCCAGCTCCCCAAATCTCAACTCACCAGGGTTTGGGTGTTTCAGGGACTTCAGGGGGGTGTTTTGGGGAGAGTCGGCCAACCCAAAAAACACAGCAGCTCGGGAATACTTGTCTGGGGCCATTTGCGTGTTGTCCCAAGTTGCCAGCGACAGGAGCACCAACAGCCTTCAGCGAACGAAGGTTATGCCAAATCCCGCCCCGAAACCTCCGAAATGCCCGACCGCATGTTGGTACGATGAATGTTGTCCGGCATCTTTCGGCTGAAGCCTGAAGCCACATGTGCCATGTTGAATAATGTTGGCCTCCAATTGACAAGCCCTCCCCCCAGCCCCCCAACAACTGGTTGAAACTAAGGATTCTGGGGAGGGGGCCAAATCTGTCAATTTTGGGTCTCCAGAGGGTTTAAGAGGGCCAGGGACGTTTTGGTCTTGGCGGCAGGGTTTTACTATTAAGGGGGTTTAAGGAGGGGCTTGAATTCCGTTCCGAAGATTTTTGTGTTTATCGAAGGTGGGGGGGTTTATTGAACCCAGGTCCAGAGTAGCTTCGCGTTGAATCTCAGAGGACAGTCCACTCATACTACGTGGTTCTTAGGCAAAGTGCATGCTGCATGTGCGCAACGAATTCACCAATGTTGTCACAGTCGCTCGGCAAGACTGGCTCCACGACTCCCAACCCTAAAGCCCCAAGCCCTTGTGTAGGTTTTGGGGCCTCAAACCCCTAAACCCTAATTCTAGGTAGGCCCTTGGGACACTTTGGGCATATAGGGTTTGGAGTGTATGGCTTATAGGGTTTCTAGGTAGGCCCTTGAGACATCGTCTATTTCCTTTATTGGGTGTAATTAGGGGTATCTCTTGGGGGAATATTTTGAAGATTGTTTCTAGGCCAACCTCGGAAGTTCTCAACACTACTCTGAAGCGCCATGTTTAGGCGTTGCTGGGGGCGGGGAGCACAGAATCCGTGACTCCTCTACTGCCCAAGCTTGGGATTTGGGGCTTACCCTGAAGCTTTAAAGCGACGGAAGACTCTCCACTCTACAAGACTCCCAACAACCCAACAACTGCAAACACCCCAAAAGTCCCAAACACCTTAATAACCCTGAAGACCACAAATTAAGGACCTTAAACACCCTAAACCCTCAGGGCAGACAAGGAGCCTGTTGCAGCTCTGTCTGGCGATGTGCCTCCCGGATGCCATCAGCAGCAGTGGGAGGGCGCTGTGGTTTAGGGTTCAGGGTTAGTGTCAGGGGTTCAGGGTTGTGGGGCGGGATGGGTTTTGGGTTTGGAGCGGGGGGGGGGGGGGGGGAGGGAGGCACCCATCTATTTTCACAGCAGCATCCCTCGATGCTTATTTCTGGGGCCTTCATCCCAGAGAAGGAGAAGATGGAAATCGAAGTATATAGCCATGAAGGACCCAAGAATTGCGTCGGACTGGGACTTGGGACTTAAGGTAAACCCTAAACCCTAGAAACCCTAAACACCGCAGCTCCGAGAGCGTCTGTTAGAGCCTGCAAGCTACCCTTCGAACGATGATCGTCTGCTGTCAAGCGAGACCTGCAGATGCAGGTAGGGTAAGTGTTTAGAGTTTAGAGCTTGCGCCTCAGGCCTCAAGGTTTAATTTGGGCTTTTGGTGAAACCTCTGCCTTCGCCTGACATGTTAGCATCTACTTGAAGGCTCATGGGCACTGATATCCCCAGTTGGAAGTGCCCATGAAGCTCCAAGTGTTTTTTGAGCCGTGCTTTAGGGTGTAGGATCCCAAAGCCCTAAAAGCTCTAAACACTAAACCCTAAGCCCTAAACCTCGACCAAGCTTAGGGTCAAGAGTCAAGCACCCGAATCCCGACTCTCGACAGCTTCCGGCCTTTTCCTACAAAAGGCTCGTAGCTGCCTTCCTTCTTGTTTTTACGATGGGGCTTCCGATTTAGGAGGAAATCCGAAGAGTGGGGCGGTCAAGATACCCTAGTAGGCTGTTATTCCCTTATTTTGGAGTTGGGTTCCCCTGATATTCCACTTTAAACCAAACAAAGGGTGCCCTTTTTTCCCCTAGGTTACTCTTGGGTCTGGAGACACTGAACCCGAAACCCCAACCCTACGCCTAAAGCCAGAGCATCCCAGAACCCTCAAGTCCCAGCTCTGAGTCCTAGGGCTCAGGGGTTTGAGGTTCAGGGGTTCGGACGCAGAGGGCATCTTATGACTCCCCAAAAAACTAAACCCAAATTCAAGAGCACAAGGTCTCAGTCTGCGGACTGCCCGGCCTTCGGCCATGCTGGCACCTGGGCCTCAACTGGGGGTTGTTCTGAATTCTGCGACCTTTTGGGAGTACGCTGAATTGCTCACTAAAGGAACTTTCGGATCAGAATTCGGAGCAGCCCCCAAATTTGGGGTCGCTAGAGTTGAGGTCTATTTTGTTTGGCTGAAGTTCGAACGCCAGTAGACCTATACTTTTGCACTGCAATTTCGCATGTTGGGGTTGGCTCTTAACGTAGGGCTTTGAGCGCTCGATCGGGTGTTTAGAGGGTTCTCGTACTGGGGTGGACTTTGGTCCGGTCTTGTGGGTTTAGGATTTAGCATTTTAGGGTTTAGGGTTTAGGGTAGCAGGAGCTTCACTGACTTAACTTCTAGGGTAGGGGGTCTATATAGGGCTTAGGGTTCAGGTTTTGGTACACGGCGGGTGATCAAACTAGGGTTCTTTCGTGCGGGCTTGCCAGCATTTGAGTACTTTTTTAAGTGTTCTTGGTCAAGACCAACAAAGGTTTCAGGGACCCTTTTGCTTCAGGAAGCAGAGCGCGTGGGGGACATAAAGAAACATGGAGTTGCACACTCGAAAGCCTAGCCCCAAACTTACAGAACCAAAGAGGCATGATTTGTGTGAGCGCGTCTTGAAGCTGCATGATGTGGTCCTCGCTCCAGCGGTGTGTTGCGCTCTGGTTCTCATGTGAAGCTTGCCGTGCAACCCGCTGATTGGGGCGGTAGAGAGATGTCCATTTCCTGAAACAGGCAGGAGCAGTGGACCCAAGCTTAAAACCCTACTCACAAGCCCCAAACACCTCTCAGCCTTGGGCCTCAGCCCGAAACTCATAAGCTCATAAGACTCTTGAGGAAGTGTGAGGTGTCCGCAGCAAAAAGCAAAGTGTTCGACAAGCGCC